TTTTCTTCAAAGCAGTGCCAGTATGGAGTTTTCAATATATGAAGGGCATATTACATTCTGCTATTTTACATCAACAGGTGCACTCATTACAGTATTATTTCACTTTTAAATCAGTGTAGCCCAACTGAGTTAATATAGATTGGTAACATTTAACATTCTAGTGAACTAGGCATATCTAGCAGAAAGTTACTTAGAACTGAGAAGCTTAACAATATATTAATCTCCTTTTTATTATAAATAAAGGACTGGTCAAATCACTGACAGAATTGGCACTGCCATAAACATTAAGGAGTAGAAGTTTTGCCAAAAAATAAAATTATGCTTTTCATATTTATCTTTTGTGTAAATGTTAGATATTTTTATGGAATCTGTATTTACCCATTACAGTTCTTGTAGTTTCCAGAGAAGGAAAAGAGGTTGAATCCAGGTCTGATCCTGGGAAAGCTAAGGTCAGAGATGGAAATTGTCTTGAAATGCTAAATTACTCCTTCACACATAGGAATACATCATTTTAATCACAATCAAATAAACCGGCATTTTATTTGTGGATTTTTTTTTTCCCTAAAATTGTTTTCTATTGTCAAATAAATAATCAAACTATAAATTAAAATTTCATCAATTAATAGCTAGAATTTTAAATTTCTGCCTGCATCAAATACAGTGACATGTTTTGGAAATGACCACTATTTAATCTTTACAATAAATTAGACTTCTTTATTCCCAATCACCCTTACAAATATCAACATTGTGTCTAATAAACTGTATGTCTGAGAATAAAAAGGAAAAAAAAATAACTAGGTTACTTAGGTCTTAGTGAGGTTCCTTCAAATACAAACAACTGTATATGCTAACTGTTATAATCTCAAATCATTACTATCATAGTAAATCACATTTTAAACACTCCTTGAAATTGGAGACTTTGCACAGAAATATTCACAGAAATATTAATATTTTATTAAAATGATGAACTAGGTCAGACTAGGCCAGACATGATTTTATCCACTCTCCTAGACATTTTAAGTGCTGGAATCCTACCTACCATCTGGTTTAGAAAAAATACAGTGTAATTTTCCTTATAGACAAACATACAAAATAAAAGAGCGGAACTTGGATGCGTTACTCTGTCAATATATAGACAACAACTGCTTAACCTTTTTGCTTAGGTAGAATAGCATAAATTATTGCTCAGTATGAAAGTCATGGTAAGTGATGAATATTAATATCTTCAAAGAATAAGTGCATAAAACGTAAGTGATCTTCAATTCTTGATTGTAAAAATTCTTAATCAGTTTAGATCTACAACCTTTGCTATTAGCTTGTAATTCTAGGCAACTGAACAGCTGCTAAAATTTTCCTAAAAAATGCACATTTAGTCCACATGAAAGAGAGTTCTGGCAACAGTGTGAAATGGACTTTGGAAGGGATTGTCATTATTGAAAGAAAATTTCTTTATATAGACACACCAAAACAAGCAGAAACTCGAGCACTGATACAACTGCATTTGTCCCAGTTTGTTCTGCAAGATATTCATAAGCTTTAATTTCTTTTCTGAAAAAGGTAGAAAAGGAATTCTAAGGAATAAGTGCTCATAAGGAAGAACAGGAAAAATACATGTACTTCAGATCAACTACTGTAGTTTAACAAGAGTATGTTACTTAACCAGTTTAATTTTATTGGAGTGGGGTATAACAGATTTTGAGAGTTTGACAACACCATATCCACCACAGAAGTGCCAGCTTGATATCAAGTTGTTACACATATTTTTTTTTAATTACAGTTCTATACCGTTGTTCAAAAAGTTGTACTCAAGCAATGCAACAATTTGATAAGTATGTTTTAATTTCTATCAGCTTTAGGCCTATGCTATCTCACTTACTGGCAGCAAATCAAAATGTCTAGCTTAGATCAGTGCTTTGAAGATATTTGAATGAAAGGATTTAAGGATCTGTTCTCCACTCTATGGAACTCTGCACATTTCTTTGTCTCCATGTGACCTGGATAATCACACAAACTTATTTAGGGTACCTTTTCTTGTATTTTCAGATCAGTATCATCATAAGTAAAGACTCATTTGCTTCATTTCATGTTGTACTACTAATGCGTTGCAGATTTAGTAACACTTTCATCAAACAAAGAATACTGGATTAAGGGAACAGGTCACATCGGCCAAAACTTACTAAACATGTAAAGAGTTTACATTAGTCTAGCTGACACAAACAACATGCATGATGCTATTTTGCTCAAATCACTGTCAGCTTGCTATTGATCCTATTATTTCTACAGGACTTAATCAACCCTTTCAACCATTATAATAATTTTGATAATGGATTTTGACATAATTTATATTAACTTAACACTATATTTATTTAACTTAACACTGTATTTATATTAACACTATTAACACTATAACACACCTGCAGTATTGCATATGAGAAAGAGAACGCTACTGTATGTAATAAGACATGCCAAAGCCTATTATCATAATGCATAACAATGCAGACTTGTAAATACAGCCCAAATGTAGACCAAAGCAATATATTTACTATTTTGCAGCATCATACGAAATTTCCTAAGTTAGCCTGAGAGAGAACAAATTAAATACTACGGTTCTGCAGCTATTCTAATTCATGTTAACTTATAATACACCAGAAGTACAATCAAGTACAATAATTTCTGTTTAAACATTTAAAAATCATATGTTCAAGTATTACCAGGTACAGATGACAGCATTTCTTGGATGGTAGATGTTTCATGTATTGGAGAAACAGGCTGCTTGCGATCAAATGCTGAAAGAAAATCTAGAGTTAAAATGAAAATGGACTTCAGAGCAGTTGTCGAGCAGTTCTAGACAACACTGATGTGATCAAGCAAGGTACCAGCAGCCTTAAAGATAGCTGTGAAATAAAGTGCTACACAAATAATGAAGCTAGCATGAAATAAAGTAGCATCAGTTCAGCATCTCATGCTTGGTGGAATACTTCTGAATGGACTTGAGAAAGTATTCTCTGCAATAAAATTGATTGCACTGAAATGGATGAGTTGGAAAGAAAAAAAAAGCATCACATCAAGTAGCCTTCAAAGCAATGTGTTTGAATCTCAGTATTGTCCATGTGATGAAAAGGGATAGAGGAGTTAACAGAATTATATGGTATTTACATATCACATGCTCTCTGGTTTCCTTGGAGAGAAGAGATGTGAATTTCAGGACTGGTCCCTGGGTAGCTAAGATCAAATATGAAAACAATCTTGAAAACTTAAATGAAGTTAGTCTTCAAATGAAGAAGCCCTTGGCCTCATGTCAGCAAAGCCAAAAGTCTGCATTTCCTTAAGGTTTCCTGTATACACATTATTAAGCAGTATTTGTGATAGCCTACTCTGTTATTTGTATTTATTTATTTTTATACACACTCTAATTTTGATGCACTTACTACAAAGCCAGCTGTTTGCATATGATTTTAAAATTTCATATAGCATGCTTTCACATTAGGAATTAGGAATAAAATGATGAATCACGGCTAAATTCCACCTAAAAACATCATTTCAAGCACACAAGTTGGAAATCCTATACAATTGGCCCAGTGAAAAACCTGTAGACATCCTCTAGGCAAAGAGATGGAGTAAATACAAGAAGCACTATTTTTGTTTGTACACCAAAGCAGACACAATATGCACATTAAATCCTGTTAGCCTGCATTTTTAAATGCGTTCCAGCTTCACTGCCCAATACAAGCATGTAATATCAACCTAAAACAGCATCACAGAATCAAAAACACCCACCATAACTGGGGGCAGTAGGGACATCCAGCATGTCAGATTTTGTAAAAAAAAAAAAAAAAAAAAAAAAAAAAATCCGTACAAATCAAATATTGATTAAAGAAGAAAAGGGACTATATCACCATTACCAACTTTTGTTTGCAACAAATGTGATATTATGGAATTTGGATGAACAAATATTTCCAATTCAGCACTATTAACAGCTGCAGAGGAAAAACACAAATAAATCAGAGATACGTCTGCATGTTGATGCCTTTTTCATTCAAGCAAACTAAGCAACCAGAATTCACTCTATCTTCACTTATTTGCTGCATCCTCTAGACTTTTACCTTTTACTCACTTTTGCTGGTACCCTCTGTACCACTCTAGTGGGTATACACCATATTTTTTTGAAGCACAAAAATGTACTTGTCTACTTGTACGTTGTAGTTTGTTGTTCTACTGTGAAAAATTTTCTAGCGTTTCTCTTTTTGGCACAGTCACATTTTTGATTAACAAAAATGAAAAGATCCTTTCCTGAATAATTGTGGTTCTCCATCACGCAACTATACAATTGATTAGTCCTGCATATGGCAAATGATTGTCCTTGAGGAAGCATATCCTACCCTCCTATGTCTCCCAGCTTGGTGTCATTTACCAAGCCAAATACTCATTGATTCCATTTTGTCAGCTGTATCATTAAGAAAATAATTGACTAATACTGGGCTTAGGTCTTTCTCCCACAAAATCCACTTAAACATATCTTTCTTATTTGACAACCATGTAAAGCCACTATCATTCCACATGATTTTTTTCTGTATGTTCATCTACACTACGCAGCCTGGTTTGTGAAAATTTTCTGTGAAACAACATAATAAAATCTAGTACTGTTATATAAAATTAATTTCAGTGGTTTCTCGTCTACATCATTAAGTCTACTGCAACCTTCCCTGGTAGAAAGCTGCATTGATTTATCTTTAATATTCTCTTTATAAAGTAATGGAATAGTAAAACATGAATACAGTTTTTTTATAAAATGTCTAAGTAAGTTTTCAAGACATATAACCAAATAAGGCTGATGGCACTTTGAGGATACTATTTTTTTGAGATGTTTGAAATCTTGAGAAAGTGGGCTATATTCCATCATTTCATCATAAGCTGAAAAGAGAATATAGGTGTGGAGTGAGGTAAGCTCACAAAACTAGACAGTTTACATTGCCTTACTAGCAGTATGCAGTTCATGATGATGTAGAAGGCAGGCTAGACAGCAGATAGTCTTCAGAATAGTTAAGGCATGACACGTTTTTTTAATAAAAGGACTTGGGTCATACAACTATATAGTTGTCATGTGATTAAAAATTTTATCCTACACTTTCTCTTCTCATTTCTAAAATGTATACAATCAGAGCAGTATCTTAAAAAATTTAAAGAAATTGTTGGCAAATATATGACTGTATATGTTTGTAACAATGGTATGGGAAGTTACACAGAAGTTGATATAAAAGATTTAATAAAAAGCTTGCTGCAGACATTTGGCAGCCAGTATGCTTAAGTAAGTTTCTGACTGATGCCAAAGTAACATAAATAATTATTGAATCTATTCTATTTAACCAGCATTGTCCTTGTATTTGTCATAAAAGACAAAAAAAGTTCTGTAGTTGGTTTCTGGATAGCTAACATCAAATGAGAAAAGACAGTGAAGCAGGTTGTTTCTAGAAGACAAGGTATCAAAGGTAGGGTTACCCTTTTTGCTGATGGTTAAATTCATAACCAAGCCCGGTATAGTATTTTCACCCAGCTGCCATAAAGATAATTTAATATAAATACTGAAAAAGATCATTCTTTAGTGGAAAACAGCTTAAAAACATATTTAAGTTGTTGTGACTACATTTTAGTGAAAAAATAGACAAAAAAAAAAAAAAAAGAGATTATAATCTGACTTTCCGTAGGAAATATTACGCAGCCAGCATGAAAGAAACATGGACTGACTAGGGATAGTGGTATATGAAAAACTGAAAAGTAATGCTCCTGTTGCTAGGAAAACTCATGACCTTTTCAAGTTAAATAACAAGTAATAAGAAGCCTAAACTGTCCGATTCTTTACATTGAGGGATAAAGCTATGGTAGTTCTGACAAAACACACCACAGAGAGCAATAAAGCCACACCTGACTACATGTTGAAATTTTTCCATCTAATGAAGATAGCTTTATGTGACTGAAATGACCTTGGATAGAATACAGTTCCCAACTTGAAAAGGAAACAAAAACATTGCATTAATGCAGAGGCAGGATAACTGACAGTACCACCCATGGAGTATTAACACAGCTGCATCATGTTTGTATTCAGTATGAGCTCTGTAACACATAAAAGTGAAGGCTTTTCCAAATTCACTGATGACAAGAAACTAAAAGAACACTGACATATAAAAAGGAGAAAACAATGTAAAAAAAAGATCTAGGCAATATCACAAGGCAGAGAAACAAATATTGTCAGCAGAGACAAACATATACATTTTACGATTTCAAATAAGTTTACCTTACATTCAATTTCAAATTTCTAGGATTCACACACTGCTTACGAAATGCTTAATAACCCCATGGGTCAGGATACTGCCAGCTCACACGCCCAGACCTCTACACCTGACAATACTATAGAATCAGCCACCACAAGCTACTCCCAAACTGTCACCAAATGTCACAGCCAGTGCCTTCAGCAAACACCAATTTTCACGTATGGCACTTTTGCCACCACATGGATGTGCCACTCAAAGTAGGCTCAAGAAAAATACGTTCCCCAAAACCACAACAACATCTGGGGAAAAAATTTCCATTTTGCTCCATTTCCAGACTGGCAAGAACCATGAACAGACAAGGCCAGCATCACCATCAGGTCTCTCAAAGCCAGAAGGCACGTGCTGCGCTTCACCAAAAGGTGAGAAGAGGCAGCGTCTTTCAAGCCCTAGTGCGACCTCAACAGCAGCAGAAAAGCAGAGCATTCCTTTCCAGGTGGTGACAGCATCTCAGCATGCACAGCGGACAGCTGACCACCTGGAAAGTCAGTGGAGAAGAACACGACAGCTGCGCCCTTGGAAAAGGAAACATCAAAGGGCAGCAGAACTGCAGTGCCACCATCTTGCACTGGCCTGAATCCACACAGAAGGAGTTGGTTTCTGAGCAGCGATGTCTCATTTGCGTGCAGCTCACCAGGGAAGGCTGCTCCCAGGATGAAAGGGAGCAGTGAAATGGTACCAAAGGCAAGGTACAATAATACACCCTCTAAAGAAGCTGTCATTCGGTCCCCACAGATTGTGCTGGCAAGCAATGGATAAAGCATGAGTTCAAACAATGCAACTGCGTAACAAGTGTGGCGGGTGTTTCTGCAAGCCAAGGCTCACCAACAAATCTTCAGATGCTCCAAGAAACATCAGAATGATGCTGGGTGTGTTGGGGCATGGAGTGGAAATGGGAGCGAGAGAAGCAAGAGAGAAGAGAAAAAGGAGGATGTTTGCTAGTTACCAATCACAGTTTGCTGGGTCGTCAGGGAGGAAGGAGTGGTGGATTTCAGCCTCGGTCTCCGGGTAGCTAAGATCAAACACAGAAATCACCTTCTCAGAAACCAGCTCCTCACACTGGCTGTAGTCACACGAGTGATATCAAGATGCAGCCATACACACGCAGACCGAGCCTGGCTCAAAGCAGGCTTCCATTACACACACGTTACAGCATTACTTCCCCCCACATGATGCAACCCTGTCGTCCAAGGGCTACACGTATGCCCAAGAGAACAGAGTAAATCTAAGAATGCATGAAGCCTGTAGGGTAGGCAACCTCCCAGAAGGGATCAGAAAGATTAGAAATGGAGCAATGTCGACTCAAGAGCCAAAAGAGACCGGCAGCATCACAGGCCCCTTTCTCGGGATGGTAAGCATGTGAAACGGGCTCACGTCTGCAGAAAAAAAAGCACTGCACGAATGCTCAGAGCAGGGAGGGAACTGCAGGT